GACTCCGACTTCTTACGCTCTGCCGATGTTACTGATATATGAACACAGTGATGAGACTGCCAACGTGTAAAATGTCACGATCAGTTTGCGCATGCACTCATCCCCAGAAATGCACTGCATGACGTCACGCTTAGCCCACTGCGCATGCGTGCACTTTTAATGAGTTGCTAGATTGACATAGGAAAAAGAATGGGTTCGCGATTCGTGGGCAATTCGTGATAATTGACAAACTAACGGCCTGATGCCGATAGACAGCAACGCTGTGCTATGCTTCAAGCAACTCCTGACCAAATATCGCCAGGGTTTTTAAAAAAATTCTGTTGTACACACATACTAAGAAGTTTGTCGTGTATTGCATAGCCTACCCTCAGCAAAACGCACATATTTTCTGAAATAGTGATTTTAGACGGTATATTCACTCAGAAACAAAGGCAAACTAATTCGTTGCCGATAGCACCAGCAGATAGCAGCATCATACAGAGTCTGATTAAAAACTTTCATGGCAATTGAAGAACTTTTACCACTGTAGCACTTGTCACAAATGTGAAACTGCCCAGTGCAAGGCCAAGAATTCAATCAGTATTTTCAATCATATTATCAGATTCTACATAAATTGACTGACAATATCACTACTCAGTATTAATTAATCTCTTAATCCAAAATTCCTATCATCATTTAATAATAATGGAAAATTCTTCTTTCAGATTGCTATTTATTTTAAATTTTAATGCTGCAACTGTTCCAAAATAATCTTGTAGTAAAGGAAAAATAAGAAGTGGAAGACCAATTTTACCCAATTTAATTATTTGAATATAAAAAGAATAAGATCACGATTTAACAAATTAAAATAATCTTTCATGAACTCTTTCATGAATAACATATTAAACAAAATTAAAGTTATAAATTAGTGGTAATGGCTTATTCTGGAATATATGACCTCTGCACATCATCAGTACCTGACTTGGTACAGTATAGTTACTACTTGGATACAGAGTTAGATTTAATAATGTAACAATAAGAACAATATATATATTACAATAAACTTCTCTGCACATGTCAGACGCTTGTTACCATGAACTAGCACTACTTGACAATGGGCTGAGCACTTATCACAGAGTCTGTGTGCGATGCCATTGTTGTGCTGTGATTGGCTAGTTGAGTCACGTGAAGCCCTACTGTAGCTCCCTCGCGTATCGCGTGAATGCTGCGCATTTCAGGCCATGACACACTTTAGAACCATGCAGGTGACACAATCGGCTTTATGTAATTTGGAGATGTATATTTCCACAAAAACATGAACTTAAAGGAGAATGGTCATATAAAATTCAATTTCTCGAATTCTGAAGATCCAGCACTTAATCTATACACTACAGTTATGTCTTAATCGATCCCCGCCATTTAAAAATTATAAAAACAATCTATTAGTAGAAAAAAAAAGCGTTTTAGTAAACCTCACCTCAATATGCAAAAATGAAGCAACAGATCTGGGTCACGTGTTACAATGACGACAATCACGATAAAGGACTCTGAGACTCAGCTGAGCTGCACGGTGCATACAGACAGAGAAGTTTAGGAAAGTTGTATTGAACGGAGTTGAGCAATTTTCGTTATGCCTCAGTGTGTTGCCGTGGGTTTGAGGACCCAGGTTTGAGGAAAACATGGACAGTCAAATTGAAAAGGGAAAACTTCACACCTACTGATCGCTCGAGGCTTTGCTCTGACCATTTTGAAAAAAACGCATACGAGCGTGATCCTGAGCTTATGTCACGATTGGGCATGGCCAAATCCTAAATGCTGAAAAATGTTATATATTTATTTGTATATCGGAATGAGTCAAAATTATTTCCTTTTCTGTATTTAAGGTAAATGTAGGCCTACGAGTCAGTGTACAGTCGCAATACGACCTGTCACAAAATGAAGTCCTGTGTTAAATAGCAATCGCAAGCTTTTGCCCCAAGCCTATAAGTGGAAAATTTACATGTGACAACTCTTTGGCAATGTTTCCATGGGTTAATAGGACAGAGAAGTTACATTAAAAGTACCGGTACATTTCGGTGTCGATGAAAATGTTTTCAGTAAGGAAAAACACCTTGTACTGGGTTGTTGTTATGTTATTGTGCCCGAGGCACTTCCTCATCCTGGCGTTTCCCTCCAAGGCTGCAGTTATTTTGTTTGATCTGTTTGTTATCAAGTGTATATCTAGAATCTGCCAGTGAGCTAACTGGTCTTGCTCCTAACAGCCATAATTACTGTTTCTGCTGGTAAGCACTGATAAAATCACTGATTACCACACCTGCAAAGGTGTCTGGACAGATTTTAAAAACCAATTCAGTACTATTCAATAGCTGTCACAGACAAGATTCAAAACATGTAGGTCTGGAAACAAGCTGAAACAATGTGCCTCGTGAACTAATCACAGCCCAGGTGTTGATCGAGACAGGTGTTGTTTATTGCGTTATATGTTAGTTTTTTAAATTAAGTCTGAACTTAGGCAGCTTTTTAAATCGGCTTTCTCACCCCCCCCCCCCTCCAGCTTTGAAAAAAGAAAAAGAAAAATATGTTAATAAATCAATACATTTTAAGTTGACATACAAAAACAGACTGTATGCTGCTGTGCAATAAATTGATTTAAAAATAAAGGACAGTGAAAAGGTGCCGAAGCTTTTACTTTTTTTTACTTATGTCTTCATTATTGCCAAGAAAAGGTGGCAAAAGCATTTCATTCCTATTCATTTTGATTCATTCCTAAATATTTGGGGAAAAGATTCTGTCTTGGATGTTTCTCAATGTCATGTTGCTATTACAATATTTCTGTTGCTAACTGCTATAGATGTAGGGCAAAATTGGGTTGAGTTTCTTACCCATAATAATGGTTATTAAAAAAGCACATGTTTTATTAGGAGAAAATTAACATATAAAGGTTAGATCTTGAAAAATATGTTAAAGTGAATTTAAATATTTTAATTCTCCTCAGACTCGTCGACTGAAAAATCTCCGTCAACCTCCGATACCTCGTAATGCTGACTTTCGGCGTCACTTTCAGAATCCGTAGACTCTTCTGAGTAATGTATCATTGGTTCAAACTGGTATAGAGAAATTTCGAGGTCAGTTACAAGGTCTTTCATCCCAAATGTCGAATGATTAAAATGCGCTCTAGTCACTCGACTACAGTATTTTATACTAGTTTGGATAACCATAATTAAATGCTAGTTAAAAATTGAATAGACAGGAAAATGGCTTTACATGGCTTCACACGGCTTCAAGAGGAGTAAGACCCTACTGATAAGAGATTTGAATGAGTATGAACTTTTGTCAGGTGTCAAAAAGTCATCTTACAGGTAGACAATGCAGCTCAGTTTAACAGCTAAGCACGCTCTATTCTCCAGTGGCTCGATTGTCGTCATCGGACCACGTGACAACGTAGCTCATTAATTCTCAGGCCGAGCAAATAGGACGTTTTTTAAAGCCAAAAATTTACAAAATGAGCTTTTAATTTGTGTATTTGGGTAAAGATATCGTTAGTTGGGTATGTTTTCTGAAGAATATGTTCCGTTCAGGCCATTCTGGCGGTAAGACGCAAATCCTTTAAAGATAATTTAAATTATCAACATAGGTGTGTCGATTTGATATTCCTAGATGTATGGTTATGTTATCTATTGTAAACGAATTCACATTATAATACGCTTTGTATTTAGTACATTTCCCCGGTATAAAGCTAGTGATTCTCTCTATAGAGAGATGTGTTCACATGTGTGACATAACTTTCCCCATATATTCAAACGCCCTAATATTGTACATGCATTCAGTTCAACGACATGGACTATCCAGACCATGTTGTTATCAAGGTTTTTTACCATTTATCTCCAGTTTTCACAGCTATCAATGTTATTAACGTTTTCAAGGTTATCATGTTACAAGTTTATATGAAATCAGTTTTTAAGTTTTAAGTTTATGGAGTTTCTTGAAATATGCAATCTATGAACTCCAAAAACGATTCATCTGTTTTTAATCCACGGTTATGGTACAGTTACCTCGTATGTTCTTCTGAAGACCCTTTTTGCCACCTAAAAATCTTAAGCAAACTGAGTATATTCTTCGGATATAATATAATATAATATAATATAATATAATATAATATAATATAATATAATTTGTGACAATATATAGACTTTTTCAAGCACTGACGAGCACAAAGAAAAATTGACCTTTTATACTCTATGTATCATATCGCAACTATTTCTGATTTACGCTAAATGTATCCAAACAAATCAGGCCGCAAAAGCAATATTTTTATTTGACACTTAATCCTGACATAAATTCTCCGTCTAAATTATTTTGTTTATTTTAAGAAAAAATTAATTTCTGTGCCACCTTTCATGAAGTACAACATGAAATAAACATAATAAAATGCCATCCACATGTAGCAGTGCGCCGGTCACAACCAATAATGCCGTTGCGCCATTTAGCCATATAGCGTATTATAGTACAATAAAGATTACATACCTCGGAATTAAAAAAAAAAGACTACCGATCCTATGTTTGCCCCTCTATGTACTGCTTAATGCCCACATCCACATTGCAATGTTTGTTAAAAGGGCACCACTAGTAGTACTACATGTATTATAACCTGTACTAGTGCGACTAATACTAAAAACAATGATCACGTAGGAGGGGAATAAACAGGCGTTGACAGTACAGTAAGAATGAAAAGTGGAAAAGTTGCAGTGTCTTGGGTTTTACTCAAGTATGCTAGCTATTAAACTACTGTAGCAGAAATCAAGGGTTATGGAGACAGAGTCTGTCAAGGAAAGAAGTTTTCATCTGTGATAATGGTGCAATTAACAACATTGTAAAACGCATAAAACAACCTTGGTTGTCGCTCATTCAATTATGTTGTAGTTACTTATCTACGCTGATATTTAATGAATTTGTGTTAAAATGCATTCTGATAGTTTCCATTGAAACACAACCTGCATTCCTTACGGTTGCGTCACTGTCTTTCATGGCCAAGATAACTCCACGAAAGGGGACAGAAAGCGTTCCACTGGATACTGTTGGTTGTTTATCCCATATTTCCTGCAAACTGCCAACATCTTTTTCTTCGCTTCATCTACAGATTTCCCCCTTACAGCTACATGACATAACGGCTTCTCAAAGGGCTCATTTTCTTCCAAGTTGGGCTCTATTGGAAAGAAAATTATTTCCCCTTTATCATGAGCCTCAGCAAGGATTTCCGGTGTTGCAATGCCCGGTCGCGATAGTGCCTTGGCGTGGGCTGTTGTGGTACACATGACCCCTATGAGCTGGCACATTGGCTCCAATGGTCGGACGCTGGGTTGTATCCCACATGCAATTAAGAAATTTAGGAAAAGGATATCCGTATCAAAGATGGCGAGTATCCAGTTCCGGTAATGGTATCCAGTCATTCTACCGTTGATCTCAGTCAATTTTGGTCCCGTGGGTGTCATTTTAAACTCAATATTATACACACCATCAGTGAGACCAACTGCTCTAACACACTGCTCTGTGGCCGTTACCAGCTGTCGTTGCTTGTCAAGGGGTAAACATGACGGCATACACGATGAAGTCTGGATAAAAAACGGAAAGCGGGTAGGTCCACAATCAGAGATGAATGCCGCTAAAATCTTCCCTCGAAACATGACGATATCGACTCCATGCTTGGTTCCCAGTGCATACTCGGCTAGGTGCATTTCGTTGCCGTAACAATTTACTAAGGCCTTTTCGTCCTCAGCTTTTAAGATTTTCTGAACGGCGTTGAAGGACTTCAGACATTCTGTCTCGTCTTTGACAAGGCACACTCCAAGAGAACCTGTCCCGTATTCTGGCTTCAACAGTGCTGGATACTGAATAATATTTGACGATCCCTTCACATCTTCAGGTTGGATAATATTGCGTGTACTGACTGCATAAACATTTGCGTTTGGCAGAGGAGAGCTCCTGACTGTAGATTCCATTAAAACTTTTTGAGTAAGACTTTTCTTCTTAGTCTTTCTTGAAGCTTCAGGCGTATTACCAGGTAGGTGCAGTGCCTCGCATACGAGAGCCGTCAGAGGAACGTATTCGTCAACAACGGTCATGCACCCGTCTACGACTAGGCCTTGTGTGCGAATTATTTGGACAACTCTCTTGGCAATTTCCTCGTCATGACTTACGTCTTCTATGTCACATTGGATAAACTTGTATACACTTTGAACTGCACTGTGATTAGGATCCGGTTCAATCAAAATTATCTAAAATGTGTGAGAAACACGCACATAAATATCCGTTTAAAAAATGCCTTGACACTTTTCTAATAGCCAAACAATTAGTTCGGATACAGATGAAAATTTTAAACGGTGAATGTATACCAGAAGTAAATAGTCTGTAAATTGAACAAATCATTTAAACTGGATATTATTTTTCGATTAACCAATAAATAAATGAATAAATAAGTACATGAAATAAAATGAAATAAAATAAAATAAAAACAAATTTGTATACCGCTTGTTGAAAACATTTACCTTCACAAAGTAATTATCGGCAGCTTCCCAGACAAACTTTTTGTTTATTCCATTTCCTCCGCCAATTACAAGAATTTGCTTTCCTTGGAGAAGGAACCGCTGACTACGGTTAACCATGGTTCTCACTAAGGGTCGAACGCAACTTCCAAGCTTGACCGGGTTTTGAAACTCGTAGGTCTGCGTGTTCGCGATGGTTTTCCTGCCATTATTGATGCTTACAACCACGGCGTCATAACTGCTGTCTTCTTGATGTGTCAAGACAAAATTGACACCTGAAATATATAAAAATACATCTTATCAATTTGCAATCAAGACAAAGTGAGACGATTGTGTTGCATTGTTCGTTTGAATATATATATATATATATATATATATATATATATATATATATATATATATTGGGGGGTAATCCAAGTTAATACAGAATGTTTAAAATATTGATTTTAAAGATATTCATGCACACGATGTTGTTTAAAGTAACTTAATCCCTGATTTACCTATTATGCCTATTTCTGACAAAAAACTTCCGCGTTTCTCTTTGTTCATACTGTCCTCGTGCTTCATCCAAATGTCCAATATGTCCTCCGCCTTTTTCTTGATCATTGAACGGATCTGTAAATCACATAAATGATAACTAATTTATATCTCCACATTTTTTTTCTTTGGGGGGGGGGCGTAAATATGATACTCCAACGTCAATCGCTATTTCCTGTGAAAACTGACAAAGAACACTGGAAACAATTGATCTAACTAATAAACATCCCTGCATTAACATAAATCAACTCGAAACGACAAAAGTTTCCAGTTAGAATATATTGCTTCATAGACGAACATTTTCAATTTTGGATCGGTCTTGTAACCCCCAATGAACTAGAAAGCTTTCCAGTGACACTGGTAAAGTGTTGTCACAATGAAGCGTTCTGTCCGCGTGACCAACGCCGCAGAAGATGTCTGAAACCAGCTGATTCCCGTTGGGAGTGCAGCAGACGAAAGCTCGGATTGTGCAGGACAACTCCTTGCTTTTGATGCCGACTAAAATGAATAATGTGCACTTATAGTATTTCTTTCATAAATTTATAAGGAGAAAAAACAATGCTAATTAAGCTGTTGTGTGATCCCGTTATGAGTAACATCATGTACGTGATATAATATAGTTTAGCGCAACCATAATATTAACTGATTATGCATAGTTTTAGAAACAGATAGTTTTAGAAACGATATAATTTTGCTGTTTCTAATACCGAAACGTACCTGCCTGTTCCTCGTAGTCAAGATGAGGGACTGGTAATTGTTCAAGGGTCTCACAAAATGCCTCCACAATGATGCTCTCCCCCTCTTCCAGAACATGTAGACCTTGACACATGGCGCTGTAAACGCCAGCTTGGTCATGGGCAGAATGGTAGGTCACTCTTCGTGAAGCATGTACGCCTACTTTGACAACTACCTAGACAATAAAAAGTTATTTTTATGATTCAAATGAAAGTGAATTTTGTAAAAAAAAATAAATGAATAAATAAATAAAACAGCGCCTATTCTCTTTTGTTTATATTGAAAGAGAGAGAGAGAAAGGAGAATTGTTAATATAAACCTTTTTCATCCTTTTTCCAAGCAAGGAACTAATAAATACAGCCAGTTCATTTTTGATCTTTTCTCTTCCGTCTTCTTTATTTTCAATAGCGACCACATAAATATTGCGTCTCTCCTGGTTATAAGGTATTCGTGATCTGTACACAAATGCCAGCGTATCGGGATAGGCAACACCAGCGTCCGCAACCAGACTACGAGTGAGAATTCGATCATCCAAACACTTCATCAAATCTTGCGTGACTCCAAGTGGGCAATCTAAATCTTTTTCATAGTCCACATTGTAACTGCGCATGCAAACACTGCTTTTCTCATCATCTGCAATAGGATGTATTTCATGTTTTGGCTAGAAAACTTAATCCAGAACATGAAGACAATGGAATCGTCGGGTTTAGGAATGCACAGAATCATATAATTACATATAAAGTTGCATGAGTAAATAGAAAGATATACAGTGGAAATATACAATTAAATGAAAAAGATACTTGAAACAATTAATTAATGAGACAATAAAATTGTGGTAAGATAAAAAAAATGAATTACATATTGATAGGTCTCGACAATGTATGCGAAAAATGAATTATCAAACAAACAGAAAGCTGAATGACTAAATACACGATAACAGCTATTGTCACATGATGTAATATTTAACTTCTGGATATTATACCTGTAGCAAGGTTTATGAAGTAAGTGACACGACGAGGTGGAATGAAGATGTCCAAAAATGTTCGACCACAAGAGTCAAATGTGACAGCCTTGTGTACTCGTAAGGTTTGCAGATCTCCTTCATTGGTGGATTCTTTCTGAAGCCATGTTAAAGAGGGTACCAGTAACATACCACCAGGACACTGCTTCCCACCCTCTAAACACAGGTTCAGACAGGTGAGAGGTTCCCCCAGTACCACCATCGTGATCTCTTCAATCGTAGACTTTGATCGCGGATTCTGTAAACATTTGTGGTGTGGTTTAAGAGGATCTTATGTACCATCATTATTTTTAATAGCAAAGTAACTGTCCTCAAACTCGACACTGCATGATTTATTCATTATACATATCTTTTTTTTACAAAAACGAAATATTTATTGAATACATGAAAAGGTAAATGTACATTTTTAACATCAGAAGACAATTTACTTCCATTCTGAATAAACTTATGGTAATATGAAATTTTCAAATTACCTGCGTTCTCTCTACGGTTTCTGGCAGGTCGTAAAATCCTAGTCCTTGATGCAAATCTTGCCAAAACTGACTTTTCTTGATTTCCTCGCCCAAAGAGCAGTGGTCCATTTTACTTGCTTAATAGTATAAATTTTCATATCAATATATATTACTGTATCATTTACTGCACTATATTTATTGGAATATGCAATATCTTCTGTTAACACGCCATTTCCCTTCATTTGCTTTCACTCACCTATCACATTTCTATTTATTTTCTCACAAAATACTTGTTGGCATTTAGACCACACCAGATGCCCTTTTAATAATAAGTTAAATGTTTTCTGAATAGAAGACAAAGGATATACATTATGAAAAATAATGATATTTAATAATTGTAAAACAAAGAAATTTTAGTATTTTAACCTCTGATAAGAAGGTTATGTTTTTGGTTCTGTTAGTTGTAACGCGTTCTCTGCGTCGAAGATACACAAGCAGTAATAATAATGTCTTGACCTGTCATACATTCATTAGGTCTACTTTGTCTTTTTCAAACGTGTTCGTTAGCACATACTAGTAACATCAGGTTACTATAATTTTTCAAGGTAAAGTCCTTGGCAGCGTTTGCGCTTTCTGATTGCTTTTCTAGTTTACAATACTGATTATAATAATAATGATTTTATTTACGTCTCATGTTTGAAAATAAAACCCACCCTATTAAGGGCTATGAGAGAGTAAAACCTGGAATAGTAAAGTTAAAATTCATAAAAGTTCTTTAAAACAAATTAAGTATTAATTAAACACATAAAAAAGATATTATATATACAACTTTGCAATCCCTCTTGTCGTTATAAGACTTATTTCTCTTTCACATCATTGTGTGTACTTTTTTGCTGTCTTAAATTATGTCTGGTCATACTGCATAAGAAATTTTAACTTTTCATTGTCATTAAATGCATTTAAGTGTTATTCAACATGAATTGCAATTTTAAAAAGCATTCAAATGTTCTTCAACGTGAATTGCAAAGTAAAAAAGGTCTTTTCTAATGTCCTTGTAGAGTGTGCCATTGCGTGTAGTTGTTTTGCTGTCTTAAATTGTACCTGGTCATACTGCGTAAGAAATTTTAACTTCTCATTGTCATTAAATGTATTTAAGTGTTGTTCAACATGAATTGCAAAATAAAAAGCATTCAAGTGTTCCTTAACATGAATTGCAAAGTTAAATAGGTCTTCTCTGATATTTAATTTAAGGTGCAATAAGTGCATATAGATGCTCATCCAGTGGTTTATTAGGTTAACTCTAGTTTACAATTGTTCCCTTTGTTGTAAACTTGAGATTTGATCTGATGCCATTGCCGCATCAGGTATTATAACACTAAGATGTTCGCACTTGTACAAAGTTGATATTTGTTTGTTTGTTTTTTTTTTTTTTTTTTTTTTTTATTATTCATTTCCATGACACTTAAAATGTTTGCACTAGTAAAATGTTGATAGTTTTAATTTATTATCATGGAAACTAAAGGCACTAATTCTCAGTGGCCCATGTACATTTATATCTATAAACCTTGAATGAATGTTGTTGAATTTGGTTAAAAGCGCTAAAAAGGGAACGACAGAACGTTCTCCGCAGATTTTTCTTAACTATAGGTTACGTATGCAAGGCAGCTTTTACAGTATGTTCTCATTTTAAAACTTCACGTTCCGGTGAAACCAGACACATTCATCATGTCTGTGATATGCAGGTTGTCTTTTAATGGTAGGTGTAACGACAGTATACAGCCATCTGTATGTTACAGCATTTTTCAAATGCACGGAGGGATTTGCATAAGGGTTGAGAACAAGTTGGTATTGGATTTGGATCAATGTAATGAAGTCTTATACATTATGTAATAGAACATAGAGGTACCTTCATACCTTAGTCGCCGAATAATGCGTTTGTGAAAGCAGTCGTTTTCATGTTTATTTTTCGTGCATTTATGATTTCTAGGAGGCAGGAAATAGAAGAGAGCACAAGACAGACAGCTAGAGTACAAAGTGTAGATCCTAGGGGTTGCTGCATATTTAGCAATAACGTAGATCGTTACTTGTTAACCCCCAATGGCAAGATTTACGTCTGCTTTCAAGGGATCCGTTCTCGAATTTTCCAGATCATTCTTTACAGAAGACACAGTGCTATAGACTACGAAACATTTCTAAAAATTTACGTCAAAGATTTGTTTCTCTACTTTTTGGATCCTCGATTTTACAAAAAATTTTGCTGTATAATGTCACATTGCTTTGTGAACACTCATGTTTTCCCAGTCCCAAGTCATTCGCAAATTGCACTAGAAACTACTGAGAGAAAATGGGTTTAAATGGTATTTTATGATAAATGTAACTCTTACATAGATATGTATTTGCTAAACGCATTCACTCATATACACGAACATTTTAGTACTGCCCACATGGTAATACTTACATGTATAACAAGGCATTGGATGAGACCATAACTTTGTCAATATGTCGGAATTGAAAATGGCAAAATCATTTGGAAAATATCCCTCATTAAACTTTAAAATTCTTACCTTGTTGTTAAGTTTCACGAAAAATAAAGAACGTTGAAAACGCCTCCCTGGTCTTCAAAAAAATAATGTCGCCCTCAACCTTAAGACTCTGACTTCCTACGCTCTGCCGATATTACTGATATATGAACACAGTGATGAGACTGCCAACGTGTTAAATGTCACGACCACATTGCGCATGTGTCACACACAACGTAACCATGCATATTACGCAAGCAGCTTTACCAGTCATTCTTTGCTAGTGGTGCACTGCAGGGGGGCCATAACAAGAATGTTATTTAAATTTAGATAGCCAACCAAATTCTCATGACATCGTTGTGTATGTTTCAATAACAAATCAAAGAAGCTGCATGAGCAAGGAGGATGCTGTTATAAAAGCAAAATAAGAGAAAAAGCAGAAAATATATCGAAATTACCCTCAAAATGGCGTCCTTTTTTGTGGAATTTCGACCCTACCTCTATTTAGGAACAGTTTGTTTAGGGTTTGAATGAATTATTGAAGCAGGGAATACACCTACTGCAAGAAGATATAATAAACAGAATGTGCAAATGGTTATTTAAATAAAAATTTATTTGAAGTGACTGAAAAATGATCACAAAATTAGCTTAACTTACGATACATGCGGTGTCCCACCCCGATGAAAATTTCATCTAATCCTATCTTTTTGTATTAAAACTGTTCAATCGTCCAAAGTAGTATGTCGGTTAGTTTGTGTCAAGAAATCCATGATAATATCAGTTTTCTTAAGAATTTCACATTTATTGCTCAGCAAGGTCAATTTTTCTTCACCGCGTCCCAATATAACGTTCGCAACGGTGAAACTTCAGAGATCGATTCTTATCAGACGACTTTAAAATGCCGCGTGAAAATTATACATCGATAGCGATCTTCTTCCATACTCACTAACTGATGACGTCTACACACGAATGGCTTCTTTTGCACACTAAAAAAACCAGCTCAAACTGGCGGGTGGTCCATTCTGATAACATATCACGCAATGACGCTGTCGAGATAGGATGCAGGGCACAGGTGTAATTCCCTTGATTTAACCGTCACAGGATTGTTTATTGGGATCTTCTTTGTATGAAGGTGAGAAATAATGAGTTTCGTTTCATTTTTCTTCAATTGTTTCAACATATTTGTGTACCGATTGATTTTTACCATTCTATAAGTAGGGTGACTTCGTCTGAACTTTCGTTTTGCGTCTGTGTCACATGGGGGACT